TGGTGGTGCCTGGGTAAAGGACATATGATGGTTCTGCACTATTTTTCTGACTCTTCTGTGAGTCTGAAACAGTTTAAACAAAATAACATGTTTAAACTGGATGTACTAGGGGTCAGGGATATAGCTCAGTGGGTTAAACGCCTGCCTGGCAAGCACAAAGTCCTGAGTTAGATTCCTGGTACCAATAAATAAATAAATAAATAAGCAAACAAACAAACTGTATGTACTAGTGCATATCTGTAATCCCAGCACTCAGGAAGCTGAGGCAGGAGAATGATCACTCATCTGTAATCCCAGCACTCAGGAAGCTGAGGCAGGAGAATGATCACTCATCTGTAATCCCAGCACTCAGGAGGCTGAGGCAGGAGAATGACCACTAATTCAAGGCCAGCCTAAACCACATAGCAAGACCCTGTCTTCCCCTAATAATACTAACTCTGAGTCCTAGATTTGTAGACTGAGCAACTGAGTTCGTAGTGGAGCCATTGGTTTGAAAGAGGAAGACTTGGAAAAGAACGGCCTTGGGTATTGCAAGGTGTTCCAGATGTAGACAGGTCAGATGTGCTTGCAAGGTTCCCAGGCAAGCATGGAGTTAAGCTTTGGAGTACTGAAATCTAGTGGAGGCAGAAGAGCTAGAAAGCTAAATTTGGGAGTCACTAGGGTACATATGGTACCTGAAGCCAAGCTGCTGAATGAAGTCACCTAAGCAACGAACAAGGACGAAGGGAGGGGCCTGTGAATGGAGCCCCAAGGGCATCTGACATTTAGGGCTCAGATAAAGCAGGAAAAACACGCAAAGGTTAATGCGGGTAAATTGTAGGGAAAAAAAGCAGGAGTTAGCAGTTAAGAAAGACAAGAATTGAAAGAGGTGGCATACGTTTGTAATCCCAGCTATTCAGGAGGCTGACGCAGGAGGATTACAAATTCAAGGCAACTTAGTGAGACCCTGTCTTTTTTTTTTTTTGTCTTTTTGAGACAGGGTCTGGCTATGGAGTTCAGTGGCCTTGAGCTCACTTTGTAGCCCAGGCTAGTCTCGAACTTGCAACAGTCCTCATACCTCAGCCTCCTGAGTACTGGGATTACAAGTGTGCGCCACCATGCCCAGCAAGATCCTGTTTTAAAATAAAATAGAAAAAAGGGCTGGTGCTATAGCTCAATGACAGAGTGCTTGCCTAGTATGTGGGAAGCCCTGTTCTATGCTCAGCACTACACACTGCCACACAAATTGTACAAATGCAAATAAGGGGCCATCTACAAAATTCCTGACCAGCATTCTTCAGAAGTGTTCATGCCATAAAAGTAAAATAAAACACTAAGAATCAGTAACAAATTGCAGAAGAGTCAGGAGACACGGCAACTAACTACAACATGGTATCCTGGGCTCGATTCTGGGATGGGGAAAGTGCATGATTGGGAAAGCAGAAAATCAGAAAGGAATCTGCCATTCAGTGAACAGGATTATACCAAAGGCAACTGCTTGGCTATAATACGTATGCCACAGCAGCAGTGTATGATGCTAATGTTAAAGGGAACGGGATGAAGGGTATTTGAGAACTGTCTTTTGGATTCACTCTGCACTCTTTCTTTTTTTCTTTCTTTCTTCTTTCTTTCTTTTTCTTCTTTTCTTTTTTGAAACAGGGTCTCACTTTGCAGTTCAGGCTGGAATTGAGCTTACTTTGTAGCCCAGGCTGATCTCGAACTTGCTACAATCCTCCTGCCTCTGCCTCCCCAGTGCTGGGATTACAGGCGTGCAACCACCACACCTGCCTTTTTTTTTTTTTTTTTTGTCTTTTTTGTGCACTCTGTTTCTTTTGAGACAGGGTCTCACTGTGCAGTTTAGGATGGTCTTGAATTCACTATGTAGCCTAGGCTGGCCTCAAACTCATGACAGTGCTCCTGTCTCAGCCTCCTGAGTGCTGGGATTACAGGTGAGTGCTGGGATTACAGGTGGAGCCACCACTCCTGGCTCCACTCTGGACACAGCCTGGTGGTGACAGCCTCTCTCTGCTCCCAAGGCATCAGCCAGGGCAGCCGAAGGATTCCGAGAACCTGCTTCTAGGATGGTATTTGCTGTGGATGGTGAGTTCCACCAGGGCTGGGGCTCAGCAGCTTAGGGGCCTCCCCACCAGGCCTAGACAATTGACACAAGAAAAAGAGTGGATGGAAAGCTGTATCATCTTTGATGACCCAACCTCAGAAACACCAAGGTACAACCAGCCAGTGTGGTTCTGCACACCTGTAAACCCAACACTCTGAGAGCCTGCGGCAGGAAGATCGCAAGTCCAAGGGCAACTCAGCAGACTTAGCAAGAGCCTGTCTCAAAAAACAAAAATAAAAAGCAGTGGAGACAGGGCTCAGTGTGAAGGCCCTGGGCCCAATTCCCAGTACCAGGAAAAACTCCCATGGTGTTCTTTCCGCAGCGGGACCGTACTTTTTTTTTTTCTTTTTTCTTTTTGAGGCAGGGCCTCGCTATGCACTTCAGACTGGCCTTGAGCTCACTTTGTAGCCCATGCTGGTCTTGAACTCATGACGATCCTCCTGCCTCAGCCTCCTGAGTGCTGGGATTACAGGCATGCGCCACCTGGCCCGGCTGGGACTGTACTTATATAGCATGTGCCACGCCCTGAACTCAATCCCCAGCAAGGGAAAAAAAAAAAAAGGATGGGAACAGGGGTCCATGTGCAGCATGAGCTTTAGACAGGATTGGGTGCACTCAGGGCAGTACAGCCACAGACAGCGCAAGCTCTGAAGAACTTGAAGTGTTAGCCAGGCATAGTGGCACACACCTGTCATGCCAGCACTCAGGAGGATCACGAGTTTCAAGGCCAGCCTGAAACCCACAAACAAAAAACCCACAAACAAAAAACAGTAAAATTTGAAGTGCTGAAGTATGTGGGAGAGAGGGATGACTGTCTGGAGGCAGCACGGAGGAGGCAGGAGGATCTAAGGAAGGGGCCTGCCAGGTCTTCTGTGAGGAGCAGGGATCGGGTAGAGGACAAAGGTGAAGAAGAGGGAATAACAGGAGATGCTGTGCTCGATGCTGTTGATAGCCGTGACTTCTTGTGCCTCCAAAGTGTGAGGGCTGCAAAGGATGGGGAACTGGGTAGAGGAAGGGTGTACACAGCTGAGAGGAAATCCAGGAGCCGTTGGATGAGAAGCCACTTAGAGCCACCCTGGCTCATGGAAAAGACCTGGGCCCTGGAAGAGGCAGTCTTGATGTAGGGAAGATTCAGCCCGTGACACAAGAGCTATCAACCCACATAAGGGGGCAGAGAACGAGAAAAAGAGGAGACAGGAATAAAGGACTGGGGTCAGGGAGATCTGAGAGGGGAGAGCAAAGACAGGAGGAACAAAGACTATGAAAACCCCAGCATGGTGCACCTGTAGTTCCAGTTACTCTGGAGGCTGAGGCAGGAAAACTGCTTGTGCCTCGGAGTTCAAGGCCAGCCTGGGCAGCATAGCACGATCCGATCTCAAAACAAACACACAAACACAACAACAATCCAAAAAGAAGAATCATACGGACGCAGAACCAGAAGCCAGACATCTAGAGAAAAGGCACAGGGGCCGGGGATATGGCTCACTGGCTTAAGCGCTTGCCTGGCACACCTGAGGTCATGAGTTCGATTCCCGGTACCGAGAAAAAAAAAAAAAGAGAGAAGGCACAGCACCCGCAAAGAAATAAAGCCGGGCCTCAGGTGCCCCTCCCCATGCCCCCAGCAGAGGGCACCCGGGATCCCTTTCCCTAGACCAGGGGGAGGACCAATACCCATCACTACCCCCAGCCCATCCGAGGGGGTTATTTTTACACAGTGTCACCGGACACCCAAGCTGGAAGGCCTTCTTGTGTCTGCCCTTCGGCTCCTGAGAGTGACCCCGAAACATCTTCGCCTACCACCCCTGCCGGTTCCTGGCAGGCCCCGCCTCCTCTTGCTCTGTTCGAGTCTCAGCTCAGGCCCTGCTGGATCCCATCACGTCTTGCGGAGAATCCAAGCAGAGCCCCCTGGGCCGCGACAGGAAGCACATGTTCAGCGGTTTGCAGCTGCCAAAGGGAGCCCAGGACGGGGTGGCCACCAGGAAGGTGGCGGAGTCCACTACGGGTGATGGACCAGGACTCAGGGAAATGACCCCGAGGTTTCCAGTGACACCTGCTGTCATTCAGGCACAGAAAAAGCCAATAGAGAAAGGGGCCTCCCAGACACCCAGGGACAGGGACGCGGAGGGCTGAGAGATAGTGGGCAAGAGGAACCCCAGAGATACAGCAGACACAAGAGCTGGGGGTGGTGGCGGCTCGCGCCTGTGATCCCTGAACTCAGGAGGCTGAGGCAGGATAACAGTGAGTTCCAGGCCAACCTGAACTACAAAGTATATTCAACGCCAGCCTGAACTACATAGCGAGGCCGTCTCGATGATAATAAGGATGGTGGTGGTGATAACAGAGACACAAAGGGGGACAAGAGACAAAGACAGACCTCTGGACAACAAGAATAAAATAAAGACCGAGATCCACGAAGACAGTGATGCCTAGACACAGCGGCCCCCGGCACAACAGACCTCAGAGAAAACTGCCCCAGCGAAGCTCAGCGACCCATTCCCACCACAGACCCAAAGCCATAGCCCAGAGACGACAGAGGCGGGGAATGTGAGCCCACGAGGGGCCACGAGGGAGCCGCCCCGACCCCGAGGGCCAGATCAGCCCAGGCAGAGGGCGCCACCCCCGCCGCCTGCCCGCCCGCCGGGTCACGGCCCCCTCCCCCGCGCCCTCTGCGC